CTCCGCCCCGCTGGGGCTCTGCGGCCCTTTCTGTGCCTGCCGTGGGGGCTCCGTGGGGCGGGAGGGCAGCGAGGGCCCCGCGCGGGACGTTCCCGTGCCACCCGCGCCGCCAGTCGGTCCCTTACCCCGAAACCCTCGAGCGCCCGCGGTGGCTGTGTGAGCTAACTCCGGAGTGCGCTTGGCTTCGTGGCCGTTTTGTTTCTTCTGGTGATCGGTTGTGGGGTTTTTTGGTTGCTTGTTGTTTTCGGTAGTTTAAATGTGGGGTTTTTAGCCTCCCTTTCTGTGTCCCTTCTTGTCTGGTTTTCATAGGTTCTATTTATTTTTCGTTTATCTTATTAGCTCTATGTGTCAGTAGGTCCAAGACAAAGCTAACTTCGTTTTTGTTAGTCTTTTGAATGTTGCTGGCACCCTAGAATGGTTGATCATCACTTCCCAGAGCCTTCAGGATGACCTTAAAATGCCAGACTTAGAGCATAATTATTTTCCTTAATTTTTCCTTTCCCTCTCTCTTTTTCAGATATAGTTTAGTGTTATGGGTGATACAGAAGAACCTAAAATGCAGATAACACCAGAAACTCCAGGACGAGTCACAATCCTGAACCCTTTTGAAAGTCCCAGTGATTATTATACTCTTCAGGAGCAGATTGTCTCCAGCCCTTCCATCTTTAAGTCAACAAAATCTTCCTCTGTAAGATGTAGCCTTTGGTTGTGTAACTATATAGATGGAGTGCTAATGTTTTGAAATACATTAGAGTATTTTATTTAGTATACTTTAACATATATACTAAACTAACTAATTTTGGTGCCATTAGTTTGTTCTGTTCACAGCAGCATGCTGCTTTTATTACTAACACTGTCACTTAGTCTTGATATCTTCCTAAATTTCTTTTAAGTATTGGGTGATTGTGTGCCAAAACCAGCTGAAACTACATAAAGAGCAGTTTTTGGATGTGATGCTCTTGTCCCATTAAAGTGGAAAAAACCAGTTTCACTTACATGTTAAGCATGCTGGATGCAAGTAAAACTTAATTGCACTTCCATTATGAGCTGTTTGCATATTCACAGAATGAAGCTAATGATTTTCTGGATATACAGCTGTTTTTTAGTGGCAAATTACATTCTAGTTTGCAGTTGAAATTATTTTCTGATAAGCAGTAGAGATAATACTGTGCTAATGAAACTAAAAAGCCTTACTTAGTAGATAATTTTTCAACATATTTTAAAAGTACTTTGTAATTGTTGAGTAAAAGGGTGAAGCTACTTTTTTCTGAGTTGGGTTTTGTTGTGCACTATGCATAGCATTATGAGGGACACTTTGCAGGCTGTATATGAGGTTGCAATCTTTGAAATGGGTGGTGAAAGAGAGCATTAGGTATGCACACTGGGTTTTCATGGAACCACAATTTGGCAATCTAGAAGCAACTAAATTTCATCCCAAGTTATGCATCTCTAGTAGATCTATCCTCAGAAATGGAGAAGGAGCTGACACCTCTAAATATTAGCTATAATCTTCCACTTGACATTATCTTGTAAGTCATTGTAATACCACTACCAGGATAAGAAGCCTGATTGACTGGCTTTTTTTTTTTTTTTTTAAATGTAGATCATTTAAATAGAAACTCTTTTGATCGTCTCTGACAGAAACTATATGGAAGCTATGATTGTGTTGTTTCATTGATATTTGATTTGTCCCACAGTTTTATTTTTACCTTTATTTTTAATAGCAAGCATTAAGATGCCTGTTTCTTTCTTTAGACACCAGGAAAGTTTAGATGGTCTATTGATCAACTTGCTCTAATAAATCCTGTGGAAATTGACTCAGAAGATGTTCGACGCCAAGCAATGTATTTGAGCCATGCTAGGTAACTTACAGTCTAGTCTTATGCAGTTAACTTAGCTTGAATACTAGAACACTGTTCTTTTGTTTAATTACATTTCAGCACAGCATCAAAGACTTTTTAGTCAAATCTTCTAATATAAATTTTTGCATGTCCGTGATGTGGATATAATCTGTAGATGAGGCTGCCTCTGTGTTGCTTCTTTTTGTTGTTAAGAACTGTTGATCCACTCTGATTGTAGTTTGGAAGACAGTCAGGTGTAATCAGTCAATGGAAGCAAGACTGTGTCTTGCTAGGGATTGTTAACCAGGCTACCTCTTTTGCTCCTTGTTACAACATAGTTCGTCTTCTCTGAGTGTTCCATACAAAGACCTGTGAAGCACAGGCTTCCTTGGTCTTTGGGACTTCTGCAGAGGGATAGAGCTGGGAAAAGTAGCTAGGGAAGCCAGTACTGTCTTTGAAAGGTTTAGACTTAAAGTGAGGGAGTGGGGACCAATAAGCTTGCTGTCTTTGAGGAGAAGAATCCTAGTTACATGAAATAGTTTGGTGACCTTATCTCAACTTTTTCCTTTCTCTGGAAATAGCTTCCATGAGGAAAACAAGTAGGTAAAACAGGCTTGGTATTTGGAGCTTATCTCAGGGGATAATTTTACACACTAGTGCTACAGAACAACATGCCAAGTGAAGGTAATTGAGGGGAGGCCGTGCTGGTGAATCCCATAGACATGTACATTTCTCAGATACAAACTTGCACAAAGAACTGCATCTCATGACATGAAGCATTGCAGTAATAGAATAATAAACCAATTCTCCATCCTGTCTAGATCAGGTTGCTCAGAGTCCCATCCATCCTGACCTTGAATGTTTTTCAGGGATGGGACATCTACCACCTCACTGAGCAACCTGTTCCAGTGTTTTGGCACCCTCATCGTAAAAGATACTGTGAATTAAACCTATTGTTCTTAGTGTCTGACTGAACCTACATCTCTTTTTGAATAGGAAGAGCAGTAGGAAGAATTTAACTGTCTTCAACTATATCTGTGAATCTCCATGTCTTGATGTCAATATTATTTTCCCTGATATCTGTTTGTTTCTTGGCTTTTCTCTAGCGTCTAGTAGGTTTCAGACTCTAGTGTTTTTATAAGTTATATATCCTTAAGCCTTATCACATTGTTTCTGGAAGCCTTTTAGAACACATGCAAGCTAGCTTTCATGTGACAGTTCTGACAATTAATGACATGGCACCATAAACATGTGTTGTTTCAGGCTGTCCCACTGTTTCATACCGACTGATTTTTTTTTTCCTTAAGTCATCGATGACTGGAAAGAGGCTGGTTTGTCCATGTGTAGATTTGCTGTGTCCATGCTTGCATGTTTAAATGTAGTACGGACTGAGGCAGTTATTTCTGATGGCTGCAAACTGTACATCGTTAAATACATATACATATAGATGTGTATATGTAGGATTTTGCATGGAAATTAATTTTAATTTACGTTTCATAAATACAGTTTTATGGGAAGTAAAGCATCGTGAATACAGCTCTTGGTATTAAAAGTTACTGATAAGAGAATTGAGTTTTATATAGCATAAGGCCCATGCCTTATGCTATATAAACTATATACTCTTGTTAGCAAGAAATAATATACTTGTTAACAAGTAATTTTCTGAATTAGTTGCAGACAACCACAAGCATGGGAAACTGTATAAATATTTCAAACTGTTAGTTCTCTGTAATGTGGTAAAATTAATCTGAGGAGCAGCACAGTGTAAAAGCTCATGACTGCTTGGAAAACTCTGTGTATCGTGTGTAGACTTGATTTTGTGTAGTATTACTGTTTCCATAAACTGGACATCACCTATGCACTGTGTGCATTTATTACTCTGCTTACAAGCTGATTAGGAGAATGTTTTCTGGCAGACTGTGTCAGTGAAAAATAGTCTGTCAATAATGTGGCCACAGTCTTGTCCACAAGCTTTCCTCTACCATTTTTATTTCTGCTGGAGGAAATGGAAGGTTTCTAAACCACATGCTGTGCTATTATTCATTAATTATTTTTAAAAACTGTACTGCATCTTCTGTGTCACAGTTTCAAGTACTACGTTGCTTAAAGTATCATACAAGACTGGCTTGTTTTTATTCTTTTTAAAGATATATATGACATTATCACTTTGTTATTTTTCTGGACTTATGCACTAAAAAAACCCTCTTTTGCATTAACCAGCACTTGGGACCTGTTTTCCAAGTTCCCTTGTTTCTCCTTTGGAATCTGGCTTGTAAAAATGCCTATTACTTGTGATCCACTATGCATAAATACACAATGATAATATGCTCATTTTTTGGTACAATGAGTTTTGTGCAAGTGTCTTCCTAGATCACCTTAGCATCACCTAGGCAGACACAATTGAGGACAGCGTGTTCAAATATTGCAGATATATTCGAAGTCTGATAAGCATGAAAGAGCTGCGAGAGCTTATACATTGGCACATTTGTGTGTGTATCGCGAATCATGTCTGTAATCTAACCGACATCTAAAATTATTCAAGGGTAATTCAGGTATACTGTGTATAAAAGTGCTTTGGGATTCAGCTAAGACAACAATGAACATTTATAAGGTCCAGAAATTTTACAATAAATCGCATAGTAACTGAAAGACTTGAAGGTGACTGTTAAAGGAAATACAGAATCTCACATGTCATGGCTGGAGTAACGACAATATTTTCCTTAAAACTAAGTTAAAAGCTGCATAAGGGGATTATGTTAATTGATGGAAACTGAAATGCGAGACTTTATTTCTAAACTGAAGAAAATGTGTCAGACTAGCTATTTGGGAGAACTGTGCTGAGAAAGTGCTATATCAGGAATCAATTTGCAAACACTCCAGGAATATTGTCTTCTGCCCTTTGATTCCTCAGAGCTTAGTTTTTTATTCTGCTTGGTTTTATAGTGCAAGTCTAATCTCATGGTAACTTTAATAGTAAAATCTATTCATATGACAAGTTCAACATAACTAAATGGATTATTTTGGAAGATCAGTTATGACTGATACAAGGAGTAAATAGAAGATTTGCAAATGTCCATTTATAAATGGTACAGATATTTTTCAAATTAATCAAACTGAGAAGTGCATTTATATTTCTAAATTTATAGTATAAGATTATTTCACATAACAGTAAAAGAATAATAAGATTTAGGGGTTAGTGTAATTTCATTTGTAAAGTTTCTCTTAAGCATCTATAAATTGGACTGGTTGGACTTTACATTTTTTTTTCCTACTTACGTGATGATTTTGATAACTGAGGTTTTTTCATTTATTACTTAGAATTGATAAGGAGACAGAAGACAGAAGGCAAAAAGCTATTGAGGAGGTAATAAAACTTTGCACTATCAAATATTGATTTGTTTTGCCTGCAAAAATGATTCACATCTATTATAGGTATTTCAAAACCCATATTTAGCATGAAAGTAATTTTGTGTCCTCATCCCTTGCAGTTGTAGTTGGAATCCACATGGTCTTTTTCTTCCTGTCTTCCTTCAGGCATCTGTTTAGTTTCACATTGCTTGGCTAGTGGTAAAGTAGCAGTAAAATAACTCTTATAAGTGCTTAATTTCATGTTAATAATAATGATTGAACATTTGGGGGTTTACAGTAACTGCTAGTGTTTTATTGGATTTTTGGTGGGTTTTTTTTGTTCCATCCGAAGTCTGTTTTGTTGGAGGCAAGACTTTATTCTGATAGCTTGTATATCTTTCCATCCATTTTTCATTTTATTTTTTTGCTGTCCATTTGCGTAGCAGAGAAGGAAAAGTGAAGTGCTCCAAATATTCACTATAGAAATCTTCAATGCTATTTCAGTTTAAAATAAAATAAGGCTCTGGTAGGCAAGTCTATCAGTTTCTGTCTCTACAAACAAAAAGTATGTTTTATGATTCTGTAGAGGTGCTGTGTAGTTGACTTGCTGCTAAGATGCTCTGTTGTTCTAAATCTGCATTAAAAAGGATATTTCTTCTTTGTGAGGTAAAACCTGCTGGATTATGCAGCTGAACAGCTTGAAGCCATTCTCTGATAAAAATTATGCCTTTATTAGTTGTGTGTCTCAAGCTGAGGTTTTTTCATTTGCTGTGAGTCTTGCATTTAGTGTGAGAACAGGATTTGCTGTGTATTTCTTGAAGCTGTGTAATAGTGTTCATCTCCTCAGTATCAGGGGGTTCCACAGTGCAACTGTGGTGATTAGATACAGTTTCTGGTTCAAAGAAAAAGACTGAAGTGCCAGTACCCATAGAAATTTCACACTAACCAATTTAGCTAAATACAGTAATAATGATGCCAAAAATCCTTGGCTTATCACTTCTGCTGTTACTTCAGTGTCTGTCAGTTCTGTGCAATACCTCAGTTGTCAAAATACAGTTTAACAAACTGAAAATTTGAAAAGAATTATTTTAAACTACTGTGCAGTAAGTATGGTAGTTACAATTCATATTTTGAAATGAGCAGTTATTGCTAAATGAAACTTTTATGCAGTTTTCACTGCAAACTTGAAAGGTCTGAGGTGCTGTGTGTCATAAAGTACATGGGAGTCTTCAAATTGTTTTGTCTTTAACCTCTCTGGGCCTGAAATAATGAATTATGTTCTACATTTTTTTATTGTTCAGAGTACTACTCTAAATTTGAGAATTTCCAATTTTTGGTTTGGTTTTATTCTATTCTAGTTTTTCACAAAAAGACTCATAGTTCCTTCTCCATGGACTGAACACGAAGACAAGCAAGTTTCTCAGTTTAATTCAACTAAATGTAAGTTGCTTTTGTGTGTGCACCCAAAATAATGCAGCTTTTGGAGAAATTAACAAGCATAATTTTTTCAACCTAAATTTAAAATTTTAAGAACCAGCGATAACGTGTGGCACAACTGATAGATTTGCAGCTGTTCTGTCCAGGTGCTTTCTTTGTTTAAGATTTATTTATTAATCCAGAGTTTTATAGAATTTTTCCTTTTTGTTATTTTTGGTTCTTATGCTTAAATCTTTTTCCTCTCATAAGCTGTCTTCAACCAGTTTAATTTACATACATAACTTGGCTGTGTTGATACAGTAATAGCTAAGTCTTCTACTTTACTTTTTCCTTCTGATATTTGCACATCCTACTTATTCTGACTGATTTCCTCTCAATATAAGCATATGGGAAATGGAGTTCCATTTTTTTTTATCCTACTTGCTGCATAAATTTCTGTTGTCATCTTAGTGTCCTGCTAGCTCACTGTCACTGGTCATGGGTTTTTTAAGTTTATTTTGTGTATGCCACTATAAGGTTTTATTCTTAATGCTGTTATTGAAGTTTATTTATAACCAGCAGAATACATAGTAAATGAATTACAAGCTGAACAAATGTCAGCTATAATGTAATATTTGCATGCAGCATTGTTTGGTAGGAAATTCTTAAATAAGTAGGGATTTTTACAAGATTTAGAAAAGACTATACACTTAAATTTGTTTTAATCAAGGAGATGCAGCTTGTGGATAGTGTATTTTTAATTGTCAATTGCAAGATTGTCACCTTTTTGGCAGAGAACATAAGCTGCAATCTTAGATCTGGGAATGTGAATGGCAAAAAAAAAAAGATCTAGTATGTTCTTTTGCTGTATGAAAAGGATGAAGTGTTTCTTCACCTTTGTCTTCAAGTCCAGACTGACTGATTTTCAGAAAATGTGTCTTACTTTAACATAGTCTGTTTGGCTAAGCATAAACAGTGTTTGTTTTAAACCTCTGTAATGTAGAGAAGGCTGCAGGAGACAAAGGTTTCAGTGATGTTGATGCTACTCCACTGAGACTTTTTTTAATAGAAAGCTGTTGAAATTCACTTGATCAGCTGTAATGGTAATTTTTCAGTACTCATTTCTAATCTCTTTCAGACTTTGGTGCAGAAATTTTGTTTAGTTGTATTAAATATTCTAACTTGCTGTTGCTAGGTTTCAAAACTCTATATACAACTTTATGTGCCTGCTTAAATATAAGTTCTATGTTTTGTAGCCATAGATTTAGATAACATTTCTCCAATTGGAAGACAGATAACTTTGCAGCCTGGGAAAAGCAATGGTGAGTAAAAGGCAGTGTCTGAAATGACAGGCTTTCTCTGAAGCAAAATAACCCATTTTTAATGGCTGTTTAATTTCAAAGGGGAATTATTTGTTTGTTAATATTGCTGTAGAAATAGTTTTTCTTGAACTGTATGGTACTGCTAATTTTAGTATTCATTTCTCATAGTAATTCAATTCTATTATGCTTTGTTGTGTTTGTTTCTGAAGTAAAATAAGTCCTCTGTAGACTGTAGGGTGCATGTTTTTCTGACTCAGTCTGCCCTTTTTCTGAATTAAGAAGTGGATGCAAGCCTCAGGTTTAAGGGTAAATTACAGTTTCAAGAAACCTTTAATGTGTTGGATTGTTTTATGTTAGAGAATCTTGATGATTTTCTATGCCAAATAAATATCAAATCTTAATATATCTTTTAAACTATATCATTTTAGATAAATAGATAGTGTTTTCCCCCAGGGTATTTTGACCTTTCTCCCATGTCCTTTTGAATCCTTCCTTTCATCAGAGACCTCTCTCCTCAGTTAGCAGCTTCTGGAGAGGCATTCTTACAGCTCTTGGTGTTTTTATCTCTCGGCTTCGTGTGCTGCATATAGTGTTCTCAAATCAGAATCGTAGCTTTAATTAGCACTTATTGCAACTGTAATTTAAATAGCTCAATTGCAGTGCAATTTTGAAGTGGATCTTTGTTTCTGCAGTTTTAGGGTAAGGTCACTGTGAGCTAATTTTGTTGGCTTTATTCATTGCAGCTTCCTGTCAGACAGTACTGTCTTTACCAGTGGATTTTAATTTAGAGAAAATACTAGGTATGTCATGCAATATCTAAGTTTTTAATTATGAAAGTCTAAATAGAAAACTTGGGGTTTTATTTGCTGGGTGTTATTGTCTTAGGAAATACTGAAATCCTAATGTGAGAATGCAAGCTTTAAGTATGTGTTCTAAATAGACAGTCGTGTGTTGCATGGGACATGTGGCTTAAATCATATGATCTGAGTGTGGACATAAAAATTAAAGATGAGGGATATGGAGGGCAGCTGGAAATTCTTCAGCCTGGAGAAGAGAAGACTGAGGGTGGACCTTGTAGCAGTCTACAGCTTCCTCAGGGGAGTGGAGGGGCAGGCACTGATCTCCTCTCTGTGGTGAGCAGTGACTGGACCTGAGGGAATGGTATGAAGCTATGTCAGGGGAGGTTTGGGTTGGATATTAGGAAAAGGTTTTTCACCCAGAGGGTGCCCGAGCACTGGAACAGCTCCCCAGGGAAGCTGTCACAGCACCAAGCCTGACAGAGTTCAAGAAGCATTTGGACAATACTGTCAGGCACATGGTGTGATTGTTGGGGCTGTTATGTCCAGGACCAGGAGTTGGACTCAATGATCCTTGTGGGTCCCTTCCAACTCAGGATATTCTATCATTCTATGAAATTTATTAACAGTTCTGAATGCCTAAAAGGTTGTAAGCAGAAGATACCCCCTGCCTCCCCCAAACTGAGCAGTTACTTACCTTAGTGGAGCTGCTTGGCTTACAGATGGCTGGCCATGAGGCTCATAGCTTTGCTCAAGGCAAGGCTGGGCTATGCTGGAGCTCTAGTTTAACTGAAGCCATGGTGGTGACTATAAGTTGTGTGGTGGCAAAAAAAGCCATGACTGCTGAAGAGGCAAGAGTCCAACTGTCTGATTTTTAACTGTTACATCAAACAATTCCTACCACCTTCTCAGGCAAGGGGTCTGGAAAGTCCTGTTCTTGCAGCATATGTGGGAATCACAGAATCAACCAGGTTAGAAGAGACCTCAAAGATCATAGAGTTCAACCCTACCATGATCACTAGACCATGGCACTAAGTGCCACATCCAGTCTTGTCTTGAAAACCTCCAGGGATGGTGAATCCACCACCTCCCCAGGCAGCTCATTCCAATGTCTGATAAGTCTCTCTGTAAAAAATCTCTTCCTAATATCCAACCTAAACCTCCCCTGGCAGGGCTTGAGTCTGTGCCCTCTTGTGGATACAGCCATCTTAGAATGTGTTGGCTGCATGTTCCTGTTCCAGTATAGAAATTCACCACTGTGAGTGTGAGCCATAAAAATTAAAATGGAAAACCAGAACCATATCTGTTCCTTTTGGTTTTCTGTCTTAACAAATGCTTCCATCCACACTTAGTTTGTGAGTTCATGAAAAATCTACAGGGAATATCCAATTAGAATAGAGCAAGAGCAAAAAAACTAAAATAATCTAGTAAGTCTTAGCATATTTTAATGGGTCTTTGTTAACATCCCTGTGCTTTCCTACTGTAAACTGCTTGGACTTGAATCCTCAAGTTGAATCTAGTTTATCTCTGGATGTATTATGAAGACATCAAAGCATATGTGAGACCTGAAGGAGTCTAGTTTTGCTTGCATAGTAAAATAATCCCTTTTTCACAACTCAGATGTGAAGAATAATGCAATTTTGCGAAAAGACCAGGAAGTAGATGCTAGCCAATATATATTTTTATTTCTTTTCTGTGATTCAGACTTTAGTATTAAGGGATAATAGACAGAAGTGCAACCTTAGTAGACAGAGCAGACGTTTTGTAGTGATAACAAGGGGTCCTTTGGGATTGGTGCCGCATTAAATTAATTACTTGCTGTATTGGTAAATTGGATTAAATGTTTTAATCTAGTTATATATGTCCCTGTAGTGGAAGACTTTTTTTTTTTTCTGCATCCTTACTGGAAACAACTTCTCTCCTATGTTTGTAGGTGAGTATTTTAGAACTGATGAATTTGAAGATCAGTCTCAGGAAAGTCTGAGCTCTTCATCACTCAGAAGAAAGCTGTTTTTAGAAGAAAATGGAAATGTATCTGCATGTTTGTCCCCTGCTCTGCGTAGTCCATGTGGTAGTCAGCCACTTGGAGTGCTGTGTTCATTAGCATTATCTCCAGTCCGCTGCACAAGCCCCCTGGACACATCTAGTTCAGTAAGTAGCCTGTTTTCTGGGCTGGATGGGATGTACTTAGGAGAATGTTAAGTGTTAGACTAAAGGATGGTGGGTTTGTTGGTTTGTTTGGGGTTTTTTCCAAATTTAGAAAAAGGTGAACAGAAAAAAAAAAAAGCCTTGGAAGTATATATTACTGACTTTTTATTATATTAAATTATTCTGTTGTGCTGCTGTTCTTTTGTATAGAAGGAATTATGTTTTAATTTTGTTTGGAAAAGGGAGTAGGAATTGATACATATAAAAGATGTGCTGAAATAGCATGTTGAAACCTTTTTTTTTTTAAATAAAATGTGCATACTAAGTAAGTCCTGTTTAAATCCATGAACTGCTATCTAAAATACCAGTTGATATGAACATGTGATGCAGTTATTTCCTGTATAGATCATAAAGTCATTTATAGTGCAAGAAATGACTTCTGGATCTTTGAATGCAGTGCTAAATATGCTTTTCTCTTTTCCATTGACCAGAGTTTTCCAGTGAACAGACATTTATGAGAACACAGAACATAATGTCTGGTTTTTAAATTAAGCTAAATGAACCTTATTCCCTGGCAGACATAGGACAGCTAAACTGGTTTAGGTGATAGTTTCATCTGTTTGGTGGCTGAAGTGGATGGAAAAGAGGTACCCTAGCAGGAGTGTGGCTTAAAAAGTTACTATGGTAACCTAGTAAAGAATTCCTACAAGTTAATTATACTGCTAGAAGTGAGTGTTCTTGTTGCACCATAGTCTTAAGCAAGATTGCGGTCACCATTCTCTTTTTTTAAGAAGTACTTTTGTCTGCTGCTGCATTAGGTAACACAGGTGACGTGGATCACATTAAAATAGAAATAGTGGCTGACTTTGATCTGCATTGATATGAGTAAGAAATTGAGATGAAATGCTTGAGTAGATACACAGATAGCATTAATTCTCAGTTCAGGTTTATCATAGTTCTTAAATATAATGGATATAATAGTCTTAGTTGGTATTGTGTGACACTTTCAGTCCATTGCTCTTTTCTCCTATATGAAGGCATGAGGTGCAAGTCAAGAGCTGCAACTGTAATATATAAGTTAAACTAATGGTAGAGACTGTTGTTGTAAAGGATTAGTCTTCCTCAGTGCCTCACAAGATTTTTAGTTAAAACACTTTTTATATATACATATTAGTCAAAGTTTACATTATGAAAATACATTATGTAGCTTTGGTTTTGTTTTGTTTTTCTGAAGGGTCAGTTTTCATCAAGTCCTATTCAGGGAGGAACAAGGACTTATAGCCTGGGAAGTATAACCAGTCCCACATTTCCAGAGGGGTCTCCTGCACATAATGGTTCTCCTACTTTTTCCCCAATTGCTTTTCACATAAGAAAGTCACCACTCTCAGGTATGGTGTAATTGTGTATGTATTGCTCTTTCCTGAGTAGTCTTACATTTTGTTTATAAAAATTGTTGAAGTCTTTGTTTGAATCAGGTTACTGTGCTTGGCAGACCAGCAGTCTTGTCCTATACGATACATTTTACTATTCAGCAGTGAACTGTCTTAATCATGTGAAATGCATATGCTTGCAAAAAATCAACTAGGGAAATTGTAGAAGGTGGCATTGAGACCCAATAGGAATGGAAAAAAAAAAGTTTGAAGGGTTAATCTAGTTTGGGAGAGGGTTTAAAGCCATATGCCTGAACCAAGTCAGCTCACAATTCTGATTTGGCCTACACTGAAGCATTTTAATTGGACAAAGAATGTTTGGCTTGAGTTTTCAAATCTTGTGCTCACGAAAATTATTTGAAATGAAACTGAAACTGACTAGTGAAGAACACTCTGTCCCCACTGTTCTAGAAAATGTCAGTATTTCATGCTGTGTCCATACCTGGCAGGGCTTAACACCATGTCTATACATGACTTTGCTGTGATGAGCCTTTTAGTATTTAACACTGTTGTATGTGGAGGTGGCATAGGTGTTTTCTCACTTGTTTGATCTTCTTAAACTTTACTGCTGCCACAAATTTAAATGCCTATAGAATGTGTATTGATATTTGTTCAGGAAAACCCCACAGAACCAACCTTCACACATTTTCCTTTGAATAATGTGTACTATTGACATTTGAAAATACAAGGTCTCCATTACAGCAAACCATGTCATAGAAAACAAATTTGGTGGTAAAAATGGGATAAAAATTTGCCTTTAATATGACAGTTAAAATATGCTGGTAGTTTGTTAGGTTTTGGGGGTTTGTTTTGGTTCTGGGTTTGATGGGTTTGTGAGACCAGAGGTCAGTGACATCCTACGTAGTTGGCTATAAATTATTCAATGGACTGTAAGGCTTTGAGGATGATGAGTTTTTCTATCAGATACCAGGTAGAGTTAAACCGTTGGGTTTTTTTGCAGACCGAAGAAAACTTACATTTCGTTCTCCAGATATTCCTTCTTGCTCAAATAGAATGACACCGCCGAGTACAAGAAGTCCTTATATAGATGGCTGTTCTCCAATTAAAAATTGTTCCCCTATGAGGCTGGGAGCTTGTAGAGGAACTGCCCAGTATCAGACTTCTGTCATTAGAATACCAATTGCAGTTGAGAATCACAGTGAGGATGAGGAAGACAAGGAAAATGCTTCTCCAGCAGCAGCTCGGTTCCCAGAAACGGATAATGGAATAAACTTATGTCAGGAAGATGGTAATGCTTTTGCATGTGGTACACACCTTGTGGTAGCAACTGTGTCTATCGCACAAGATCACTCGGAAGCTTGTCATCAAAGGTTGTCATTTCAGGATATAGAAGGCTTAAAGGAAAATAATACTGTGGATATGGCTGATGCAGCTGAAGCGTCAGAGGAAAACACTTGGATAAAAGAAACCATTGGCAATAGCAATACACCAATGACCAGCTTCATGACAGGCATCACGTTCAGTATTGAAAGCTCTCGCATGTGCATGTCACCTCTTGCAGAAAGCAGTGCAATTCCCTGTGACAACAGCAGTATTCAGGTAAAAATAAATTAGTTTTTTTGCTTCTGTGTAGAACTGAGCTCAGCGTAACTTTGAATATGTACATCATACTAGAAGTATTTATTTTCTCTTATTGGATGTGGCATGCAGGTGGTATTGTGCCTTTTGGCCCTTCCTTCCCATCCCCTCTTTCCTCTCTTGGTGGAGTTAGCATAACAATTACAATTATTTTTTTGTGTTGCTACGTACACATACATTTACCTTAATCCAAACTAATTCTGATAGACCTGTGTGCAATTTGCTTTTGTTATTAACTGATCATAGTTGGTTTGTTGGATTAAGTTCTGTTAATCAAATGTAAGTCATATTAGGTATCTGAGGGATTTATTGTGATAAATTACAGTACATTTTCATGCCCTGCTTCTTGATTTCAGGTGGACAGTGGTTACAATACACAGACTTGTGGAAGCAGCATTATGGATGCTGTGGGGGCTGAAAACAGTTGCAGAGAGAATGATGTGAATACTGTCATGTTTCAGAATAAATCTCAGCTGCTTAGAACAAAGGTAGGAGTTAAACTGTGATACAAAAGTGATAGGCTTCCCATCTAAAGCATCTCTTCCCCTTTTTATTTGGTTTCAGAAAGCCCAAGGGGAGAAACATGTTATAATAAGGATGTTAATATAGTACCATTTCATGTATTATATTGAAAAGAGAATAAATGCAGGACAAGTATTTCAAACTGGCAGTAAAATTAATGTTTTATGACAAAGGCAGAGGTTGTTTCAAAGGAACCTGAGGTATATGCATGTATATTGTTGTGAGGCTGCTCACAGCTTCTGATGTATTGTAGTTTGTCTCTTACTTTTTTGTTCTCGCTGCTTCTTGTATTGCTATTGGGGAAAAATTGTCCACTGCTAATTTTTGTAACTTCAGCATCAAGTTTCCTAGACCATACCTAGCGCTGACTTAGTGGTGAACTTTCTGCTTGGGTCCAGTATTTCACTACAAACCCTTTGACCTATCTAAAAATAAGTTACAAAAGACAATTTGTATCTAGCAAGACTCCTGAACCCTTAATCTTGTGACTGATAGGAGGGAGTGCTACTTCTTCCAGAGAACTGGAGGCAAGGGTAGTTTCTTTGGCGGAGGGAAACAATCATCTCCTCTGCCTTAGTAATTATGGTCTTACAGTCTTACAAACTTGGTAGCTTAGTGTTGTTTACAGCCCTTGAAAGGGAGACAGTACCAACCAGTAGTACCAGACTAAAAAGAAAAACCTCAAGCAAGCCCATTCAGCCCTGACTTCGCTTCTCTGCCAAGGTGAAGTGCAGATTGATGGCATCTTATAGACCACTGACATCAAATGTTGAACTCTGCTCATCTAAGACTAGGATAAATGTGCCCTTACAAGAAGAACTTCTAAAAATACCCATCTACTCTGAAGTCTTGCCCCAGTCACCCCGTTGAATGTGGATTATACGTGTGAATGTACTTAGCAGAATCAATCGTCTAGTATCAAACCTGTCCTAGAGAGACACACTGATGTCATGCAGCTGTCTTTTCACACTGCTAGTCTTTCAGTTGCCAGATCCTGACTAAATCAAATTTTGCACTTAGGATTTAAGTGTGAAGGCATTAAGTACTTCATTCAGCTCTCAGAACAGAGAACCCCCAGAGGAAGAAAAGAAAAAAGCACAGACACTGCTGGCTGAA